GTCAAGCCCAGCAGTTAAGAAACTTCTAGATTACATTAGAGTACCTGAGTGGCACTCCTAGTTCTGATCTTGATTCCAGCTTCCTATGAAAGCAGACCAAGGGAAGCAGTGATGGCCTTAGGCACTGGGTTTCTGCTACCCACAGGAAGCACCTGCACTGGGTTCTCAGCTCCCAGCCGAAGACCTGAGACATACTTGGCAGTTGTGGACACTTAAGAAGCAAACCAGTGAACTGGAATTCTGATTTTCTCTCACATTCTCTTAAACAAATAATAGAGAAATTAATCAGGTAAAAAGCTCAACATGATTTTAGATGTCAGGTCATTCAAAACGAGTGTTTGACATCAAATGAGGGTACAGACATTCACTTTCTGTATTCACATATCATTTTTTTAAAAGTTTGTTTTTTTAAGATTTACTATTTTTATTGGAAAGGTGTATATTCAGACAGGAGGAGAGATAGAGAGGAAGACCTTCTGTCCAATGATTCACTCCCCAAGCAGCGGCAAAGGCTGGAGCTGAGCCAATCCAAAGCCAGGAGCCAGGAACTTCCTCCCTCCTGGTCTCCCATGTGGGGAGGGTCCCAAAAGCTTTGGGCTGTCCACAAATGCATTCCCAGGCCACAAGCAAGGAGTTGGATGGGAAGTGGGGCTACCAGGATTAAAACTGACACCCATATAGGATCCTAGCATGCTTAAGGTGAGGACCTTAACCTACGTTATTGCACCAGGCTCCACATATCATTTAATATATACATCTTTATTCAAAGTGATATTACCAAAAATGAACATTGTTTCAATTTACACTAACTAAAAGGAATGACAGAAATTATATACAGAATAGGTGAAAAAACTGGGACCATAACACACCTGAACTTCTCAAGGAATAGTACAGTGTTATTTAAAATTGGGTTTAGATTATAGGCAATGAACATTGCAGACTCCATGTAAACTATATAAATAAAAATTTAGGAGTCACATATCCTTTATATCTTAATAAATGACAGAAAACAGAATCCTGTAAGATGCTCAATTAAAATGAGGTGTGCGGATCTGGAGGAGGGTTTGAGAAAATGCTCAGCAGACACTCATTCTACACTGGAATTGCTGTGTTTGCCCTATGACTCCACAACAAATTCCATCTTGCTGCTAACGTACTCCCTGGGAGCAATCATGGAATTTTTGCAAGTGAGTCTTTGCAACTGCTCTCATGGACACGGACGGAGTTCCTGGCTCCTATTTTTAGACAGGCCTTGGCACGGTTTTGCAAGAATTTAAGGAGTTAACCAGAAAATGACAGATCACTTTGTCTCCATGACTTTTATAAATAAAATACCTGAATAAAAAAATTATTTTAAAAACTATGAGAAAAAGAAACAATTTGAACACAAGAATAGGCATGGATGTTTGGTGCAGATTTTCGCACATAATTGTAATGGACCACACGCTTCTCCCCAGTGATCCTAAACAAAGCAACATATTATGTAGAGGAAAATCTTATAAAATGCAAGTGAAGTGCTCACCAACTTGCAGTGAACAGTACAAGTTCATGCTTACAGTGTAAGTTAGTGGCAACCACTATTTAGCAAAGTTATCACACAGAGAATTCAGTTAATACTAGATGAAAAAAAATAAGTCAAACCAACTCCTAGAGAACCACAAAATAAATAAATGTACATGAAGGAACTGTTAAACTCCAATCCTTCTACCTTACCAATGCTTTATACAGCATCAGAATGTATCCACGATTTGTAACGTGAGAATACTGTCCCATATGTAAAACACTTGCTATGACTCAGCATATGAGAAATAAAAAGCAAGAAAAATATTGTCATCAGTATAAAAAAATAAAGCCAAGGCCAGCATTGTGGTGTAATATGTAAAGCTATCAATTACAACTCCGTATCCCATATGGAATCAGCTGTTTCATTTCCAGCCCAGCTCTCTGTTAATCAGCTGGGAAAACCAGTGGCAGATCATCCAAGTGCCTGGGCCCCTATAACCCACATGGAAGACCAGGAGGAAGCTACCGGCTTCTGGATTCAGCTTGGTCCAGCACTGGTCATTTTGGCCACTGGGGGAGTGAAGCACTGGATAGATGATTTTTGTCTCTTCTAATTTGCAACTTGCCCTGAAAAATAAATGTATATACTAAGGTTTATTTATTTATTTGAAATGCAGAGAAAAATATTCCATCTGCTGGTTCACTCCATACATAACAGTATATATGGCTGACTCATGCCAAAGCAAGGAAATTAGAGCTTCTTGTGGGTGTCCCGCAAGTGGCAGAGACTCAAGCACTTGGAACCCACTAGGTTGCCTTCCTAGATTTATTAGTGAGGAGCACAATTGTAAGCAGCAGCCAGATCTTGAACTGGCACCCATAGGCAGGTAGCAGCTTGATTTGCTGTGCTACCACATTAATGAAGAAATAAATGTTAGGCAATCAAACACATCAGATAGAACCAGGACTTAGTCACCTTTGCAGACGTAGGTAAAAAAGACCAAGACTTGAACTCACAAATGCTTTTTTCCTCACCCAGTCATTAGGTTTACATTGCCAAGAATTGTCTTTTCTTTCTCTGAGATTACTGAATAAACCCATGTTTTATGCAAGAGAAAGAAGATGTAACATTCAAATCAGGGCACATAAATCCTACATAAATGGGCCAACTGTAAATCAAGGCACCTGGACATGACAGAGAATGAGCTCTAGGAAGCAGCATGCTTAACTTCACAAGGAGTTCCAGTCAGAAACTTACCCAAGTTCCCAGGCCTTGGGGATCACTCTCACTGAGGACACAGTGCCCAGGGGGGCTCATTGCACTGATTGATCCAATTCTAAGCAGCCAGAAATGTGACAATCTAGTCCTGGAAACCTCACAGCCTGGAGTGTCCAGCATCTTAGCTCTCTGCTGCAACCACACATCCAAAACCAAGTGATGGTTGTGACCGCTGAGATTTTTTTTATTACCAGATGTGTTATGTTTGCTTAATACCAACTTACCACCAATTACAAAACAAGTCAATTATTTCATCTAGTGTTACTAGGGGCCATGGAGTCAAGGCTCATCCTCTATACACAGGTGCAGGATAATATTAGTGGATAGCAGGTGTTAGCTCTTTCTGGTTTTCGTCACCTTTAAGAATTCAACAGGGACCCCACCCAGAGCTATCTCCTTGGCTTATCTAGGGTCTGGTGGGTCCAAGTTCCATGGATCAGGTGACTCTTGTCTCAGTAAACCTGCATGGTCTTCAGATCCTTGCACCAGACATTGAGCACAAAAGATACTATTTATTAAACAAGTCAAATACATTCACAAATTTATAAGTACTCCAGGCCACCACAATTTCACTTTAACAAAAATCCTTTGTTGGTACAAACTGCCTCTGACTGAATCAACTTGTGAATGTAAAATGAAGCTGCTGTGTATCCCAAGCACATCGTCCTAGGATTCACCGGGGTCTTTGCAAAGGTTTCACTCCTAGGCAAGGCTGAGTGAATCCAGAGTGCACTGATCATTTCTACATTGTCCCTTAAGTATCAATATGTCAGCAAGCAATGGAACAGAGGATGGGTAAAGAAAGCATTAATGCTGCAGGGGTTAACTATACAAAACAGAGGGAACACAATGGATGCCCTCCAGCTTTAGGGCAGCATCCTACCATTCTACTGCTATCTTTCAGGGGGAATGAGTGAGCCAAGATAAGTTGGTCCTGTTTGTTACAAAGGTTTTTCAAACTCAGCAAAACTAAAAGAGAAGGGTATACCAAGAAGCATGCAAATTTTCCAAGGGGAAATCACAAAGTGAGGACATTCTGATAAAGTGCCTGCACTTCAGTTAGGTAAAAGGGAAATGTACTAAGACGTTTAAGCTTCATCTAATTTTATTTACTGTGCAGAGAGACGAAGGCAGACTTTTTCATCCAATGTCTCACTTTCCTCACGCCTGCAACAGGCAAGGCTGGGACAAGGCTGAAGCAACAAGACTGGAAATAAATCAGATTTTTCAAAACCCAAGCCACTATGTGCATTAACTTCACACTGCATTTGAACAGAACTGGAACCTACACATTCTGATAAAACCACGTGAGTCCCGCATGTGATCTTAAGCACTGTCACACTCACCCAGACAGGGCGATGATATCTTACTATGTGTGTCAGGTGGGTAGCCACTGCTCTTCTCTCATGCGTAGTGTTCACAGAAAACAGTCCTTTTACAGAACTAATGATTATTTTGCGGGGGAAAAACAAAGATAAATTACCAAAGTTGAATGAATTGTGTCTTGGGGGAAACAGTGGAGTGTGTTGCAAGTTTTCAGGGCAGAAGTCAGCTCTTGGCATTATGAGCAGTTCTGGACATTTGGGGATTTATCCCCTGTCTTAATGCTCTCTGGAGAATGTGACTTAACTCCCTCCAAAATTCACGGGGACATTTATTCCCAAGTATGAGAACGTAAGCAGTGGGGACAGGTGGCACCATATCAAAAGCCATCAGGATAAATGGAACCAGGCAACTTGTACCTTAACGGTTTATTCCTAAGTTCTTCTATAGAAGCCCCTTTGGGGTAGTCCCTGCTGCACCCCTTTATTTGTCTGTAAGGTCTCTGTGCCACCCCTGGCTTCTGCCAACCAGAAGGCCATCACCAGATGCTGCCCCCCAACATTGGAGCAAAGCTGTGAGGTAAATTGCTGGGGTCTGTGCGGTCTGACATTGGAACAAGGTGACTGTGAGCCCCTTAGAAGGAGCTACACTGAGGACTTAGCTGTGGGCTCCAGACGCTGTTTCGCAACAAAATTAGGACCAATTTTTAAAAAAGAAAATCCGGCCCAACATGAAGTTCGAACTGTCCCTGGACACTCTCCCTTCCCAATGCACGACTTGGAAAAATGTGAGTCCTGAAGGTTCAAGGTCAATACTGCAGAGTGAGGCCACCAAGGTCTCACTATTGGAACCCCTCCCGCCCTGGGGACCTGAGGAGATGCTCTCACACACTCACCACTTCCCAGCATCTAAGGAATCGGGCGTCCTTCCGAGGGATCCTGAGCTGGAGCACGGTCACAGGCAGCAGGAGCTGCAGATCCTGGAGCGTCTTCTACGAGCACAGTAGGTCTCGGGGCGGCAGGGGCTACACTGTCTCGGGCCTCTCACGAGCAGAGGAGGTCACGGGCAGCAGCGTCTGCACTGCCCAGAGCCTCTTTCACGAGCAGAGCAGGTCTCGGGGCGGCAGCGGCTGCATTGGCCCTGGCTTCTCTCTGTCCAGGGTCTCTCACAAGCAGAGTAGGTCTTGGGGCGGCAGGGCTACACTGTCCCGGGCCTCTCACGAGCAGAGGACGGCCATGGTCACGGGCAGCAGAGGCTGCAAAGCCCGGAGCCTCTCATGAACAGAGAAGTTCTCGGGGCGGCAGCGGCTGCACTGCCCCAGGATTCTCTCGCAGCAGAACTAGGAAGGCCAGTGTGGCGGCTGCAGGTATCCCGTGTGCTTCCGCAGGGCTTCCTGGGCGCGCGCGATTGGATCGTTCGCACAGACCTTGAGTACGTGCTGCGTCAGAGGACGCGCAGCCAATCAGAACCACACAGGTGTGAGGGCGGGAGGGGCAGTGAGGCTTGGCCTCCCCGTCTGCAGCTTGAGCCTCCCCGCAGCAGGGGGCGCTGTCGGCTCAGAGACGTCCGCCTGCTGGCCGCTCTCCTGCCCTCTCTGTTCGTGAACTCCGGAAAGTGTGCCAACCTTCACCAGCTACAATTCATTGCGGGAAATGCCAAATGCCGACTAGATGACTGAAATAAAGATGTTGAAATGCAGACTTCCTGTGTGCTTGAGTCACATTAGGTACTGCAGGTTCTGGTTAGAGCCCTGCGCCCCAGGGAGACGCTGCGGCGCCGAGGCGGCCTGGGAGACGGGAGGGCCCAGGGCCGCTGCCTGGGAGACGAGAGGGCGGAGGGCCGCTGCCTGGGAGACGGGAGGCCCCCGGTGCTGCCAGCGCGGCTCAGGGTCGCTATGAGAACGGACAGTGATGGCGCGGGAAGGCAGCGACCACAGGCGGGCGGATTTCCTCTCTCACTTTGCTGCGGGAAATGCACAGCAAGAAAGGGCCGACAAGCAGCTGTGCGCCTGCGCGGGGCGGGCCTGGGAAGGAGGTGGGACGGGGTGGTGGGATGCTAGGCCGGTGCGGGGAGAGGGATGGGGAGAGGCGGGAGCGGGGAGAGGGGTGGGGAGGAGGACGGTAGGGGACAAGGGGAATAGCTGGGGAGCGGGGGAGGGAGCAGCGGAAAGGGACGGGGAGAGCCGGGGAGAGCCGCGGGGAGGCGGCCTCGCCCTCTGGGAAGGCTGGGCCTGGGAGCGGCGGCGGTTCCGCCCTCGGCCCGGCGCTCGGCTGCGTCCCTTCCCCCGCCCTCGGCCGCATCTCTCCCTCCTTCTGCTGTCACGCCTCTTCCCCCACCGCCTGTCCCCGGCAGGCCACTGCCCGCTGCCGGTTGAGGACAGCCTGGAGCCCCCGTCCCTCAGGACTCGGGGCGGGGACGAGCGGCGAATTCCTGCGGGCCTCGGGGCTGCCACCTTCATCCGGGCATTCGCCGGATGCCGCCGCCATCTTCATTGTGACGCCAGCGTACGGGCGGAGGGAAGGGCCGAGATGGCGGCCCCGGGGGACGCTGTGGGCGCTCTGGGCTGTGGATGGCCTGGCCGAGGGAAGGGCCGAGATGGCGGCCCCGGGGAGGCTGCGGGCGCTCCGAGCTGTGGATGGCCTGGCCGAGGGAAGGGCCCAGATGGTGGCCCCGGAGAAGCTGCTGACGGCCTGGCAGAGTGAAGGACCCTGGGGAAGCTGCAGGCGCGCTCGGGCTGCAGACGGTGAGCTGTGCCCTCGGACCCCTCACCGCTTCGGCCTCATCCAGCATGCTGTGGCGCCAGCCTCTGCGCTGCTTGGCTGGCTTTGTAAAATGCAGAACTAAAGAACATTTGAAAATACAGTGTACATTTATCTTTTTAATCTCATCTTACTGGTGTTAATTTCCTGGTCTGCATTTTGTATTTTAATGTTGTTCCATATCTGTTTCGTATTACTACATAGTAACTTCCTTGAATATGTCATCATTTTTGGTTTTGGTTTCTGTGGATTGCCTCCATACATAATACAAATTGATAGTTCTTAAAACTTGACCACTATGCATACAATTTCTTTACTGCGTTTAATTTTCTGTGTGAGATTGAGGAACTAAAATAACAGCTAAGTAGTACTGAAGTGTGCTGATAGATGAATTAAGAAAATAGTGTGCTAAGCAATAGATAATTAGTACTTCAGTGATGCTAATAAGGAATAGTATTAGGGAGTAGTATTAAGAAATGGTTGAATGAATGTCTGGCAATAAAGAAAATTAAGTTAATGGCAAAAATATGCAAGTGTTAGAAGAAAACATTAGGGATAGCATTAAATGAGTAACTAGTAATAAGGTAATTAAAGCATATATGTGTTAAGAGATAGCAGTTAGCAGAGGGTTGGATAAGTAATGGTAATTAGAATACAGGTTAGTGATGTTAAAGTGATGCTGATTGATTAATTGCAAAGCTAACCACTAATTCTGGCTGCTGTAATGAGAGCTTCGCTTGCTGTAAGGAGAACCAAGGTAAAGTCATGACAGGCCTTGAGCAGGCCTCAGACAGGTTAGGCCTAAGTTTCAGTCCCTAGAATTGAGGCAGCCGATTCCACCAAGTGGGCCACCACACACCCTAGACTCAGCCACTCAGCCAACAAATCAGAGTGGACTTGAAAGGTCCCTAGTCATCAAGTGGTCATGACAATAGAGGCTGACCACAGGGGTGGGCACAGATAAGAAAGACCGACCACCAGAATGGTCATGGGTGATAGAAACTGACCAATTACAATCTTGCCAATGTCTTTATAGAATCAATGGCCCATTCCTAGAATTACAGCCAAAACCCTATATGAACTGTGTGAAACGTATGGTTGGGATGCTTGTTAAGACTCCACTGTGTCAGATGAGACTTGGACCCTAGCGCGCTAGCAATAAAGTTCCTTTGCCTTTGCATTGTCTCATGTGGAACTCCTGTGTTCAAGGTGGTGCGATAAATTCCAACCCAACATCTGCGCATTCACAGAGACAAAGTGAGAAGACATCATGTCTAAGGTTCTATATTAGCAATACTGGTTATTATAGATGCATTGTATCCTATCTTAATTGTAAGGAAATCACTCTTTTTTGATAAGTTTCCTTCATTAGAAGCTTAATTTTACTATAGCCTTTGTAACATTTAAAGTTAATCGTCTATAGTGAGGTACGCAGCTAGTTCAGGGTCGCAAACTTGGAAACCACTCCCCCATCACCACCTAGGTGTTCCCTTCTGCCCAGCTGTGATGCTCAGCTATCACCACCTGGAACCTGAGAGGGAGCAGTATTCCATGGTTGTATAACCACCTCCCACACAAGCCCCTTAAAGCCCCTCTCATGATAGGGAGGGGCTCACTCTCTTGGTTGTGTGTCTCGTCACTCAGGCACTCCCCAGTACCTACTTGCTCTCTGGCTTCCCACGGACAGTCTCTGAGGACAGGTAGCGCCTAAGCGTGGGCCCTCTGTGTCTACAGTCCTCACCCTCTGTTTACTGTTTGGGCAGGACAGTGAAGATGTTAATCCTAAGATGCTTTGTATTTCTAATTGTATACTTTTGAGAGTTCCAGGAGAGGTGAGACCTGACAAAATTGGAATGTGGACAGAGAAGCCAGGGAAAGGTGAATGTCTGCAGATTTGTAAGTGAGCCCAGGTTATTTGTTGTATGTCTCTTAGGACAACATATTGTTGGGGAGGCTGAGATACAGGTCTTCAGCTTAGCGAATGGACTTCAGGGTAATGACCACTTGTTCCTCTTGGGGTTACGGTTGCCTGGATTGCTGTGTCTGACTTTTCAATAAAAATAAATCAATCTTTTAAAAAAATGATACTTCTGGCACTTTCAATGCTGGATTTTCTGTCAAGGTTGAAAGAATAAAATCAAAATGCTAGAACTGCAGTCAGAACAGGATGAGAGCTGAGCACCCTGTCCCAAGCTCTGGGGCTGAAGCCCCCAGAAGCCTCCAAGCAGTTAGCTTCATGTCTGACCAAAAGTAAAATTGTGAAACTGAAGCCTCCAAGAACCTCTTACAATGCCCATTTGACTACAGCTGACACAACAAACCCATCTCTAGAAAATGCAACTTGGCAAAGGATCTGAGCTTGATTTTTTTTTTAAAGAAAAAAAAAAACACTTTCTTAAATATAACGTGAAAATATGAGATTAAATTCAAAAGTCTAAGTCATTGCAAAAATTGTAATTTTGAATATTTAAATAGAAAAATGGTTCCAAAGTTTCAAACCGAACATGAGAGTAGATTTTATCCATGCCTGATAACGCTTCACAGGTGAGCACATGCTGTTCTTGGGATCCAGCACCACCATCACACAGACTGACATACACAGTGATGGTTGTGGGCCCAGCCACTGGCTCACCTGCTGGCACTGCTCTGGGTCTCCATGGACACCAAGGCCATTGGGCAGGCTAGGGTACAGGGATTGGCAGAACCACTCTCTGCTCAGGCTTGTAGGCAGGCTATCATTTGTGTGTAGGTGTCTGGGTTTTTTTCTCCACATGTACTGGTGTGTCCCCAGTTGCCCACAGGGGACCCCCTACCTCTGCTGCCCACAACTTCTAAATAGCCATGAGAACTTTTCATGGATAATTTCATGCTGTTATGCCACTTACAATACAGATGCACACTGGACCGCAGAGTGGAGGAAGTGGAGGAGATGATGAGTGATGGACATTCAATGAGGCAGCCCCTTTGACAGCAGATTATCTACAAGCAGCTGCAGCCACTGCAAGAGTGAGCAGATGTATGGTGAACCTGGTCTCGTGTTTGGTTACCACAATCATCATTCTGGAAGGCATGGACTGAGGTTTGCTATGGGATGTCAGCTAGACAGTGGTTAATTTGGCCATCAGAGAAGTCGATGCTTGTTTACTGAATTGATAAGCACTAGATGTGGTAAAAGGTAGCATGTCTGAATCAATGTTGTTTCCATAGAGAGACAACATAAAAGGTGCAGAGGAGTTGAAGAGAGAAGCGGGGTTGGACAGATAGAGTCAGGCACCTGTGTGGAGGGTGACCTTGCTTCCAGTTCTGGGCCTTAACTCACCTGTGGTAGATGGTCACTTCCTTTGTGACTCATGATTCTTCCTAAAGTACTTTCTAAATAGGTAGGGGTGGGATCTCATAAGTGTTGACATGACATGACCAAGAACTGTGGAATTACAGGTTGGCTGGGAGGGCAGAGACTCCAGAAAAGAGGCAGAAGACCTCCTTGCCCAAAGTAACTTTTTCCCTAGTAACACCTTGGAGGTGCTTTCATCCTTTCCCAATAAGCATCAGTTCTCAAGATAATAAATTAGCCTAGAAGAAAACTATACCCCAGATCAGAATACCTTTGTTAACTTTCCTGGAACTCCCTGCCCATATGAGAAATGTAAATGACTAACCAACTAATTCTTGTGACAAAATTCTGAATTTGAACTATTCTGATTAATCCTAGTGACGTAGCCTAAGTTTAACCTGACGCAATTTAACCTGATGCTGGTAACTAATGTTTTGCAGAAGTTTAACCTGTTTGAACTAAGTTTGAACTGTTGCTTTGCCTAACATATGAAAACAGAAACCCTGGAAATAAAACTTTTGTCAGTTTCCCACAAGACTGTCTGCCTCTTTAGACCCCTTCGCTCCCTGAGTACCCGCAAGAAAAAATTACAGAGCATGACGTAGGTGAATTGAACACTTCACTTCACCTGCATGAGCTGTAGGAGTTCCTACCAACATTGTCTCCAGCAGCAGGGCCTCCTTAGC